TTAAACATTTTTCACCGAAACCTTTTAGCGATAATGCCAAATATAAACTACTAGGCTATACCCCATTGACCGCTATTGTATATTTTATCATGAAAAACAATTGTTGTGACTTTCATTGTTTTACTCTTGAGGGCGGTTTTTTTTATATTTCAATTGATAAAATAATTCAAAACGGATTTTCAACGGCCTATATTCAATATAAAAATATGAAAATGAGTGTAATCTATGGTTCACATATGGCTTTAATTTTTTTAATGTAATTTTATCGCTATCCGAATTTTAAAAGATTTTTTTTTTAAAATTTAGTTTGATTACTTCTACCTTTCATGCACCTTTAAGTACCCCAACCATTTATTTAACTATTGTGGGTGTTTTATAGTTTCTTTTTCCCAAAACATAAAGCAAGATGAGTACAGTTTCGTTTGTAAACCTGCTAAAATTAATAAAGGTGTTGAATTTTAAAAAATTTTCTAACTATTCATAATGCATTAGTGTTAATATTATTGTTTATTTCTTTTGCATGAGCCTATTAAGTTATGTAAAACAAAAATAAACAATTAATTACGATGAAAGTTACAAGAGATGTTTAAACTTTGCCAATCAATTTATCATGGTCTAATTAGCCTAGAGATATAGCGGGCATAACGAATCTAACAATCAGTTTCTTTTTAACATTGTAGATATCCATACACGGAAATTGTTTATTGATAAGATCGATATAAAGATCAATCTTTCATCGATTAAATATGAATTTTGGTGGCATAGGCACACGTAGATATAACCCACAACCCTTACAGCAGTGTAAATAGCAACATGAAGTTTTAACTAGATCAAAACACATAATAAAAGAAATACATTTCAGACTGTTTCAATTCTCTATTTCGAAAAAAAAAGTCTATGGATTTTGTTTGTCTTTGGTATTGATTTTAAGCTTAAACGCATAGCTAGTTTTTTCATATATATATATATATATATATATATATATATATATATATATATATATATATATATATATATATATATATATATATGCCTTAATGTACCAATGAAGTTTCAACAAACATCCAATAATGAAGTTGAAAGTTGTCTGAATGTAGGCACCAATGTATAACCACTCTCGTGTAGACATGTTCATCCCAATCTCGAAGTATTTCTACTCTCATCTAACATAGTAAGTTCTATAGCCTGGTGAATGTGGATCTTTATTTTCTCCGAGATTTGTAATTTTGATTGCATGAACAAATAAATAAAGATGTAATAGATTGTAAAAGTACAACATGGATACAAACATATTTAATATTAATCTATGTGGGCATACATATGTTTGCCACCTCCTACAAATAAAGGAATATATATGTCTTTAATATAATATGTCTTTACAGGAAAACTACAATTATATTGTTATCTTTTTCGTTATGGATATAATTATATAAATATTTTCAAAAGTTTTTTGATATTATTAAAATTGTTAAATTGGTTTAAACATACCTAGCAATTTATTTGAAGAATTGAAATTAGCTGTATGTTTAACTTTCAGTTTACTTTTAACATAAAGTTACTCTTGTATAGTGTGTGTTATCTTTTCAATGTTAATCGGTGAACTGTGACAGGCGAATATGTTTTTAATTTTGATTTGCTTTTTAACGACGATACGTTTACCATAGCAAAGCTTTAAAACATGAAATGCAGTTTTTTCTTTTATTATTGTTAGTTCCAACAGCACAACCAAACCCCCCAGTGCTCTCTTAGTACGCTGGGGTAACCGTAGGCCTACATCATTCAAATCGTATGTTGCACAATCCAATTTACAGGTGTATAGTATGCCCGCGTATGAAGAAATGCTGGATCAACACAAATTATTTTTAACCTCAAGAAAAAAAAATCCTAAACCTATACTAATCCAAGTAATCTGAACTGGATCTCTTTACCACAAATTAATCCGGATTTTTATCTTTCCTTTTCTATTTTTTAATTTTTTTTCCTCTCTCTGCGTTCCGGGGTCAAAGTTCATTAGATCTCAACAACTCCCCAGGGTGAGGCCAATTCAGGCTGACCCATGCATCCAGTCTTTTGATGGCACAGACCCCCGCGGCGAAACTAATTATTCCAATCAAGAACTTATTATAGAATCGTTCCTAATTAAATATCTGTGGGCTAGACTTCGATTGCTTATAATGGAGTAGTCGATACCTGTCATCGGGCATATCGTGGGTAGACGGTAGTCGTGTATCGATATCTCTAAACTGGGAAAACAGTATCGAAACACGAAAAATGGAGGACCCATATATGTTGACACAATATCAATACGAGTAATGGGGAATAAGGTATTACGGGTAATAATACATCGATAATTGTCAAACAGACATAAAAGTATCGATACTAGAGATTGATGTCTGTCAAGGGATAGTTCTGGTATCGATCTTTCAAGCAACACAACGTCCTCTTGTTTACTAACAACCATAGTAAATACAAAGTTTACTTTTCCTCTTTTGTTTGCCTTCGTTTTATGACAGTCTTTACAAAATGATGCAAATAATTTATTTTTAAATTATTGTTGATGAATGTATGGACTAAAATCTATACAGACGGGAGAACATTTATAAATGTGTACGAATATGTTAAACTAGGCCAGGTCACGCTGTGTTTGTTTTTTTTCACGTGTTCTAATTATAGATTAACTGCTTCCGGTTCTCCTGTCATGTGACAAAAACGTGTAGCCAATCAGAATCTAGTTATCTTATCTCGCGGACGAATACTTTATTTCATTTTGGGTAACCATACCTCCCTTCCTCCCCTACCCCCATACAATCTCTCCCTCCAACCGAAATACTTCCACGAGAAATTACATAAGACGGAGTATATTTAGGCTTATATAAGCCCGGTATTAACAACGCTAAACAATCGGTTACCTGTGGGGAGGTAGAATGGACTTTATCCCGTCGTGACGAGACTAGTCTGAGAGTCACGTCTGCAAACAGGACCGTTCAATGCCAGCCAGGTACTGTACAATGTGGGTCCATAGTAAACAGGAACTCAGGCCCCCCGGGCTATTACCTGATCGAATCGTGACTCAATTTGTTGAAGGAAAAAAAACTTCTTTAGATTTTACATATCAAAGATTTAAAAAAAATAAAAAGTAGTTGTGTCGATACCACTTTTGGCTTGAATAGAAATATTTGTAGTGTGAGGTTCAAGAATTCGCTGTTTTTGTTTGAAGTTAAGTCTAAATCTATATTTGCTTCTATAAATACATTTATTTTAGCACTATGCCAATGGTTATTTACATTTTAGGTGCATTTTCGGACTTCAGATTTAGATGAAATCGTAAGGAACAGACGCTCTATTTTTTACTTCCAAATAATTGAAATCGCTGTACTTCAAGAAAATCCGATTGATCTAGACCCTCTCTGCATTGGGTACTATAAATGCATTTATTTTAGCGCTACGCTTTATGTTATTTATATTTTAGGTGCATTGTTAGGCTTAAATTTAGGTGTAGAATTAGAATGGATTCGTAGAGAACTGACGTTATATTTTTACCAGGAAACAATTTGAAATCGATGTACTTTAATGAGATCAAATTGATCTAGACCATGAATTGTTGCGATAAGCTTCGATTTATTTACATCTAGATGCATTATTAGGCTTAGATTTGGGTGTAGACTTCAATGTTCGTGAACTGACGCACAAGAAGTTGTTTTTTTAATAAAGCTTAGATTTATTTACGTGTTTTTACATTCGGGTGTTATTGTTAGGCTTAGATTTAGGAGTGGGCTTAGAAATAAATGTTAGGGGCGTACTGAATCTCTGCAAGTTCTGTTTGTTACATGTAAGCCATTGTGATCGTTAAGCTTTAAAGAAAATCAGATTGCTTTGTAGATGTTAAAAACTGTGACTTAAAACCTCACAGAAATGTTTGACGGTTAGATGTAGGTTTTTTTAGTGGTTCTTAATTTTTTTTTTTTTGAGGTACCGAACCCCACCAGTTTCATATGCGCATTGACCGAACCCTTCTTCATAGTTCTATCGTCAGCACTGACAAAATCTGATCGTGAATCATATGAGTCGGGTGTGTATCTTGACCTCCGCCAATCATCTGAGACTGTCTCATCGAACCCATGGGGTTCGATCGAACCCAGGTTAAAGAACCTCTGGGTTAGTTGTTTTAATACAAGAATAAATTACCGAGTTCACTTCACTGGAACTAATATTGTTCCAGAAACCACGAATTATCAGCCTGCTTAATTTTCTGATCTCTGCCGAGGTAATAAACACTTGTCTCGTGAACATTAGTTCATGCTGGTAAATGATACAACGAGAAGTTCAAACACAAGTTTAGACACAAGGCTAGTTTTATAGGTGCAAGGGTAGACAGAAATCATGTCTACTAACTCACAATTTCTTTGGTGTAAAGGAGAGAGGCTGTGGAATTTTAAATAATTGCTGAAGATTAAAACGGATATGCTATATTTTACAATGAATTTATGTATAAAGTGGTGTGCTTTGCAAGTTTAATTAAGTTTCTTATTAAATATTATATATACGATTTTTTTATGTATCTTTCATTCAGCTAATAGAATTTTTCTATATATACTCGTCTTTGTAATAACGCTAAATTTCTGTATTTTTTTTACAGGCAGTATCTAAGACTGAATCATATCACACGAAATGTTATTAGAATTCTGGGATTTACATAAACTTTCGTTAAAGAACCCCGAAAGTAAATATTGTTGAATGCATTTAAAAAGAAAGAACACATTACGATTGACAATGGAACATACAAACAGTTTAAGAACAAGGTCGAACTACTGTTATGAAGATCTTGCATAAATCTGAGTAGGAAAAGAATGAACGGCACTAGAAGAAGATCCGCCTCCCACGCAGGCGACCTTGTCATATCCCATGCAAGACCTCACCACGGCCATCGAAGGTCTTCCCTGCCCGAAGCCCTCCATAACGCTGCTAGAGGGTTGATACTCACACATCACAGTAATCACATAACGTCACACGCATGTCGATATATTAGCGTATCGAGTTCTAGCACCTGTAGCGATTTCACGGAACTATCCGAGGATTCGACACCGAAAAAACCTACACACACTCTGGAACTCGATTCCAAAGAGAAATCAACACACTTCGACAGAAGACATTCGACTCAGTCTTACAAGCTGACAATCAATCCTTCTGAACAAACAATCATTCTGTTGAATTCTGCGCCCAGGCATCAAGATGAGAACATCAAAATCACCCAGGTATCGGAATACGATGATGAGTCTTTCAAAGATCAGTGCCTTGATAGCGATGTTACCAGGAATGGGCAGTACGTCGTAGAGAATGGTTTCTCTCCCAATACAAGAGGTGAGGACAATGGTGGATACGTGACTCTGGAATCTGAAACTGGAAGTTTACACGAACATCCGTCAAGGAGGAAAAGAAAAAAATCCAAGACAGCTCAGGTAAAATAACATTACTTTTACAATCGAAACTATCCAAATTAATGTAAATGATGTTTCTTTAATACACTCATGTGTATCCCGCATAGGTTTAGTACACAAAACTTGTTTAAATTAGTAAAAAAGAAAAAAAGGTTTGCTGTCAAAGTAGCAAAAACAATTTACTATGGAAACTAAACCTGTAAACCATTCAATGTTGTCATAATAAAATAAAATTTTAGCTTCGCATTAATCCGACACCTACCTTCACCCCCACCACTCACCCTCTTCCACAAACCCTCCCGCAAAAAAAAAAAAAACCTCCATAGAAAAGAAAATGAATAATACAAGATGAAAAAATAAAACAAATCATTACGTTAATTATTTTCTCCCGTATTCTAATTTGTGTTAGGATTTATTGAGCAATGTGTTTATATTGATATCATATTCTAACAAACTGACGAAAACCTTGAACATTCGGACAATCAACTCAACTACAAACATTCAGAAAAAAAAACCCATCACAACAACGTCATGACGCTTGTTTACAATGCGGCTTTTAGACAATCCAAAGACGAGATGACAGCTAAAATATATTTCCGGCTTGTAATACGATACACCACCAGGCTGATGAGTCTCCAGCTCGTTATTTTTCAAGGTTTTTGTCAATTTTTTTCAAATGGTTTTTCTTTAAACACTTCAAGGATTTGTTGACGTATTTCTATGGGCTTTCTTCAAATACATCTAAAGGAATTGTTAACGTTTTTCTTCTTTAAAAAACATCTTACAGTCTTTTAAAAATGTTTGTATTTATAACATAAAAAAATGTAAACGCCGCTATCCCTCTATGTAATATTTTATTGCGCGAGTGACTTGACTTTCTGAACTTTGCTCTTTGTCATCCAAAAAAAAAATAGATAACGAAAACACTAGAACGTTAATGTAATCAAACCAGCGTCATATGGAGTCTTCTAGTCTGTATAATTTCTTAAAAACAACAATTTCTTCGTGAATTTTTTTTGCAGTTCTGAATTTGACTTGAATAAAATAAAATCATTGATTCGGCGTGGTTGCTAACCGAACAGTTCCGAGTTCGAACCCTCGGGCAGATGAGGCTCGTTAGCTTCCTATCTGATCTGGGGACAGCCACTCTTCTAGGAGAGACAACTCCAACATCAAACAACTGCTGCCTTGTAGTTTGTTCTTGGTTGGACAAAAGCTATGGAAGCAAATCCAAAAGGAAAAGCTGGCTGAAATCGGAGTCAAAGGCCTGTATGGCGCAAAAACTAGTTGACACGTATACTTAATTGTGTTGTAATTGTTGTTTTCAATATAATGGTTATTTTTTAAGTAGACCGACATTGAAATATTCAAATGTTTTTATAACAGCGAATGCGAAGTGTCGTTTTTGCGCCATGGTTCTGATTGCATGTGGCAGATGAAGTAGAGTTTATCTGTTTCGTTGACCTCGTCACGCGAGGGTGTGAATGTTCAGCAATATGTCGAACCGCCTTTGCTTCCCTTGCCGGGAGTCAAGTAGCCATCAGATCTAGATGGACTCAGGGATATTTTATGTACTGAAACCCGGGATCCGAACTCAAAACATTTGGGCTAGAGGTATAATGATCTACCCCCCAACCAAGGATAAAATACCTCTACTTTCTTTAAAATAAAATCCTCTGGGATAATGTGCATCATGTAAAAGTGCGTGATTAGCTTATTAGATTTCTATTCATCCATTAATTAATTAATTAATTATAATTCAACATTGATTTTTACTTGATACCTGAGGTCAATGGCACTTTGACTGGACTACATAAATCACGGAATATTCAAGGTTGATAACCCTGCGTTGATAAACAACATGCCAGCGTTGATAGCCATCTAACCCCCAAAAAAATCAACATCCAGTCCAGGGTACGGAAGACATTATTAACATTGACACTGCGTGTTATGTTTAGCCAAAGTCATTAACCCGGTGACGTTTACATACCAATTAGCTAATTACTTCAAGCCTAGACCACCGCAGCGAGTTCTAATCAAATCAAACGTTAGCGAATGATTGAAGAGGATTAATTCATTAAGTTAAGATAGAGGTAATTGGAAAGATAAAATGTTTAATTCCAGAGTTTTAGCGTTCCTTGCAGTTCTTTATCGTCAGTTTACGCTTTTCCTTACTCATTTGGTTTCAATTGTTATCAGTTTGTATTCATCTGTTTATTTTTGCGGTTGTTTAGAATTTGTTCGTTTTAGTTGAGTATTTGTTTAGCATTTATTTAGTGATTTCTGAGAATTTTTTTTTATGATTATATAACACAATCCATTTAATTTAGTTGTACGCAGGGAATAAAGAGACGAGTCTAACAACAGTGAAAATAAAGTTTCGCCAATAGAAACACTACATTTTACAACGACTAGCACGAAGTTTTGTTATCTGTCAGCAATTTAATTTTAAACACCACCGTGTGCAGATGTTTTGAAAGGAACCTTGACCCAAAGAACGTTGACCACAAGAACCTTGGCGCAAAGAACGTTAACCCAAGGAACCTTGACCCAAAGAACGTTGACCCAAGGAAACTTGACCCAAAGAACGTTGACCCAAGGAACCTTGACCCAAAGAACGTTGACCCAAGGAACCTTGACCCAAAGAACGTTGACCCAAGGAACCTTGACCCAAAGAACGTTGACCCAAGGAACCTTGACCCAAAGAACGTTGACCCAAGGAACCTTGACCCAAAGAACGTTGACCCAAGGAACCTTGACCCAAAGAACGTTGACCCAGCGAACCTTAACGCGAACAACCTTGACCCTAGGAACCATTGATTTGATGATATATGTAGGCATATATCTTGATCTGAAAAGCATTGAGCCGATGCAAATTTCGACATTATTATCAAAGGCACTTTTTAATCGAGGCACAAAGACGACTAAGACTCAACATCAGAGGAACTTTGTACCCAACATTTTCATACACGTAACGCACTTGAAAGATATTTTCTAAATAAAATGTAAACGATTAAAAAACATTAAAATTATTTAACATAATAAAAATCCCAACTTGTTTACGAAACCTCGAGAAGCAAAAAAAAAATCAATAAATTGATATTAAACATCAACTTATAGTGCAACGCTACTCAATATTTAAATGAATAATTAATAATATGTGTTCGTGGAAATTACTTTAATAAATATTTCTTGCACAGTAACATCACCAGTCGGCATAAAATCGTGTGACATTTAATGACATTTAAATAGATGACATTTAAAATCCATGAATAGAAGTTCTGACGGGATTTAATTTGACAAAGATTAGACTGAAAGGCAAAAATTGTTGACTGCTATCACGGTTAGCAAAGCGTGACTTCAATATTTTATTTTTGAATAAACAGTACATAAAAAAACTGAAATAGAACAAAAAATTGCTATTTTTGTGGAAAATTTAAAAAATCGTAATGACCATCTGACGAAATGTTTTAAGAGCGTCAATGTATTATTTGTTTTTCACGCATCAACAAGCAAGCTTTGTAATCCAGTTTTGGAGATTATACCAGTAAAATAATTTGATTGTTGATCATGGGCAATATCTATTGTTAAATACACAAAATAATCTTGCTCAGTGGTGGGTGAATATTGCGACGAATGTAGTGCTAGTAAAAGCTCATCTGTATATCTTTTTTTTTTCTTTTTATTTCTGTCTCTCTCTCTCATACCCCCCTTTCTCTGTCTCTCTGTAGTCTACCTGATTATAATTAAAAATGACAATTAATTAGGATTTTATATTATTAATTTAAAAACTGTAGTAGTTTAATTTGATCTCTATTCTAAGTGACAAAATGGCCTAATTAACGAAAGAATTTCAGCTCAGACACTAGAGATTGACCAGAGATTGTTCGTCATTTTACACTTCTATCCTACTAGTCGGTCAATAGCTACGTCGATGTGACCTCATGACCACAAGCATATATTTAAACATACGCGTTAAAAGTAAGTTATTGGACGGCGTGGGCTAAGCGGTAGTGCATTAAGCTACTAACCCGAAAGTGTCGAGTACGAATCCGTGTCCAAGTCAATAGAAAGTCCCACCAAGCACTAATGGGTACCGAATAATGTTAGGGAAAGCAAAATTCGCCGAGCAAATTGTTGAACACACCATCCCTTCATATGCTGAGGTCGAGAAACAAATTAACTCTGCCCAAAGAATCATCCAGGTCTAAAGAGGGTTCTATATTCATTAAGAATTAGTTAACCAACCCTTGAATAAATTCGACTACTTAATTGTTTTTTTAAACACCATATTTTTCCTTCGATACACAGGGCACAACATTGTGTATAGAGTCGCTTCCCATGACAGAGAAAAGGAAAACCGTTCTCTTCTACGACAAGGACGAGAACGAGGAGCGAGGCAACTGGGCGGGGGCGTGTGACTTCAACATGTCCGTCCTGGGGTTCGCTCTGGGCCTGGACAACATCTGGAGGTCAGTCTGTCAGTGGTTGTTATGTAAACATAAGTACTTGAGATGGTTTAATATACGTTAAGTGAAAGTAGCGTCCAAATGAAATACGTTTAAAATTTTCTATGAGTTTTCAATGCTCGAGTGTGTACTTATGCATAGACAGTAAGTTCAAACAGACCAGTAATTCTTTCAGACATCTTTTCGGGGATGGGGCGGAGGCACTAATCCCTGACGTACATATACCACACCCAACCCCTCCATACCCCCCTAACGAGATATAATTCATATAGAAAACGTATTTTTACCAGTGTCCGCACCCCCCCCCCACACTCCTTTTTGAAATTTAGTCCGTCACACTCCCAAAAATTTGTCATGTACCCCCCTCTCTTGAAAAGTGAGTGTACTCCCACTCCCTAAAATGTGTCAGGTACCCTATAGAGTTGGATAAACTCAGCGACAACCTACAGACCAAAATCCAGCATCTAAACCCCAGCCTTTTGGATTAGCAATCGTGCAGGCTTCGTCCATCAATACCCTGTTATTAGAGCCTAATTGAATGCCACGTTGATGAGCTCGCTCATTCCCCTCACAAGAAAATAAAATCAGCCATTATTTGTGTACGTTCAATTAAAATATTAATTACACAACCACATCCCCCCCCCCCCACACTAGACGGTCGATGAAGATCGATGTGATTGATTAACTCTGAGATAACGCTTTAACTATAGGAGACTTGTCATCGATCTTTTGTTGAGAGTTCAGGTGATAGATGCTGGCATGTGGTTTGTTAGTGATCATGCATGTAGTTAAGTGGTTGGTGCGTGTTGATAAATGAGGTTTAGTGGTTTGTTAGTGATCATGCATGTAGTTAAGTGGTTGGTGCGTGTTGATAAATGAGGTTTAGTGGTTTGTTAGTGATCATGCATGTAGTTAAGTGGTTGGTGCGTGTTGATAAATGAGGTTTAGTGGTTTGTTAGTGATCATGCATGTAGTTAAGTGGTTGGTGCGTGTTGATAAATGAGGTTTAGTGGTTTGTTAGTGATCATGCATGTAGTTAAGTGGTTGGTGCGTGTTGATAAATGAGGTTTAGTGGTTTGTTAGTGATCATGCATGTAGTTAAGTGGTTGGTGCGTGTTGATAAATGAGGTTTAGTGGTTTGTTAGTGATCATGCATGTAGTTAAGTGGTTGGTGCGTGTTGATAAATGAGGTTTAGTGGTTTGTTAGTGATCATGCATGTAGTTAAGTGGTTGGTGCGTGTTGATAAATGAGGTTTAGTGGTTTGTTAGTGATCATGCATGTAGTTAAGTGGTTGGTGCGTGTTGATACATGTAGTTTAGTGTTTTGTGCGTGTTGATACATGTTGTTTAGTGGATTGTGCGTGTTGATACATTTTGTTAATGGTTTGTGCGTGTTGATAAATGTTGTTCATGGTTTGTGCGTGTTGATAAATGTTGTTTAGTGGTTTGTGCGTGTTGATACGTGTTGTCAGGCGGCGTGTAGATGTTTTGTCAAGTAATGTTGATAATGTGTCAGGTTATATGTTGATATGATTTCGTGTCACATGTTTAATGTTATAATGTGATGTTGATAGGGTGTCATGTGATATTGATATGGTGTCTTTTGAAACGTTGATATAGTGTCAAGTAGATTGATAGCTGATATTACGTCACGTGTGTGCTAGAATAGAGAAATATTTCCTTATACAAAAACAAAGTGAATCAAGTAGTAATTCGTTATTTAAATAATATTTTTTATCATTCAACTTCTATTAATAACTATATAAACAACATTTTGTTTCTCTATAGACTGCATAGTTCTCCTACCTAACTTAATCATCTCTATCCAGGTTAACCTACCTAACTTATCCATCTCTATAATTTCCAGGTTCCCTTATCTGACGTACAGAAACGGTGGTGGAACTTTCCTGTTCCTGTACCTTGTACTAATGGTCCTTGTGGGGATTCCCCTTTTCTTGATGGAAGCCTCGCTCGGCCAGTTCACCAGCTGTGGGGTGACCACTTGCTGGAAATTCGCCCCTTTATTTAAAGGTAACTGTGTTGTATGTTTTGTAAACATAAGGACCCGCTTTTACGAGTGATCCAGTTGCGTCGCGCTACATATAAGACGAACAACCACAAAACGGGTTACAAAACAAAAGACTAAAAAAACAAAGGCTTGTTGAACACTAAAAGGAGTTTTATCCTATCTACAATATCTACACAAAGATATGTTTTTCTAAATACCAACAAAAACTATAAAAAATAAAACATCACGAAACAGTGGATATATAAAAGTACACCGAACTAACTTATACTAACCAGGTAGAAGAACTGGACCAAACGGAGGCGATCATGCACGTTCTCACACATCTTATATACACGTCCACTCAGGTACTAACCGGAATGTGACTACGTGACTGACATAACTCAAGTATGAGGATTGAACTGGGACAGGGTACCAAGTACAAACAACATAAACCCCCGCTTTATAGGTTCACTAAAGACTCGAAAAGTTTAAACTATTTGTAACAACGCGTATTTGTAGATTGTTGATGAGACAATACGGTGTCATATGTTTGATGACAGTGTACGTCGACGAATGTAACTTTCAATGTATCACGTAGGTGTCGGTATATCGATGGTCGTCGTGTCGGCACTAACAGGCGTGTACTACAACATGATCGTCGGCTGGACCTTTCGCTACCTGTTCGCGTCGTTCAACAGCGACCTGCCTTACCTGCACTGCGATAACAACTGGAACACCCGTGGTGAGTACATCTCTGGCACGTCAATGTGAAAAAAGTGCTTGTTTTTTTTATTTTATTTTAATCAACTAGAAAAGGGCGTGTAAGCGTTGGGGCTAAGAGGTAGTGGGTCCAGGATTCGGAGTGGGTTGGGGTTGAGTTAGTGAGATACTTGTGGTGGCCTAAGATTCAGAGGTCTACTAAACTGATATTCAAAGAACACTCTTTTTAAACGCATGTGTGTTTTTTTTTTAAATTTGTTTAAATTATATGGCGTAAGATACTATTGGTAATTATAAGGTTCATGAAAATTATAGTTCCCCTTTCAGATCTAAAGATCGATGTAACAGATGAAGTAGAGTTCATATGTTTCTTGACCTCAACATACGAATGGATTGTGTGATAAGCACTATAGCCAGCCGCCTTTACTTTCCCTAAATTGAGTCAGGTGAACTGGGTTGACTTGTGTCTGGATCGAGATTCGAACCCGAGACGTTCGAGCCAACAGTTGAACGCTATACCGTGTGAAACCGCCGTCTCATAAAGTTCACGAAGCTTGAAAAAAAACCATCAAGTAGCTATTCTACAGTCACAACAGTGCACAGATTCGTCCAGATATAGCTACAACCAACAGCCTCAAGACTGTCGTAACGATAATGAAATAAAAGTAAACTATGTCATACAGACTAATTCCCTTCGCTGTTTACATTACATCGGTATATTTACTCGCCTAGCAATGATTTTTTAATCTGTTCCGTTGTTTCTTTTCTCATTATCTCGAAACAGCAGCGCGTGCTTAATTAAATCCGACGGGACTGGCTCGTGCATCAATTATTTTGCACTCACCATCCCGTACTTCACTTGATCTCAGCAGCTGTTTTAACCTTCGCCGTCTTGTCGTGTTGTTTTAATAGACAAAAATATCAGATGTCAACTTAACAATTTCTTTAACATAAATCGATAAATGTAGCTATCGGCAGAAAGGAATTTTATCGGGATGTATAAGAATTATTTTTTTACAAGACTTTTACTTATTTGATAACGTCCGTTTGTTTGTTTATTTTGAGTTTGTGGCAAATTGTGTAACTGAATTTTGACCAACTTTTAAGGCATCAATTTAGTTCATACTTTTCAGAATAATTTCTTATTCGAGAACAATGCAAGAAGATATCATTTTTACTCTAGATAGAGTATTTTTATTAGTCGATAAAATGGGAACAGGGCATTACCCACCGGCCCCGTCAATTACCCCCGGACATCCCCCCCCCCCCCCGACATTACACCCCGGAGTAATTACCCCCCCTGTCAATTACCCTCCGCCCAGTAGGACATTACCATCCCCTGGCTAGGTACAGCTGGGTAATGGTTAGGGTTAGGGTTAGGGTTAGTGTTATGGTCAGGGCTAGGGTTAGGGTTAGGGTTAGGGTTAGTGTTATGGTCAAGTTTAACCTTAAACCATTGTTTATTGTTGGTTTTGGTTTTGTGTTAAGTTTAAGGCTGAGGTTAATGCTTAGGTTTCGGGTTTTTTCTTAAAGTTGTGATTAAAGTAACAAATAGGTATATAAGTTGCGTTAGAGTTGGGATTCTAATAATTTGAGGGGGGGGTGGTAATTCCCCGGGGTTAATTGACAGTGGGTAATTGATCCAGGGGGTAAACACGGGGTGGGGGAATGTACGGGGGGGGGGGGTAATTAACGGGTGGGGGTATATGTCTTAAACTCAGGAGAGATAACAATATTATGTACAAGCGATTGTTTGTTCGCTCATGATAAATTTTACATATGTATCGATTAAAGCGTCTACTTAAGAAAACGAATTAGTTTTATGTTCTTATTTTCAATGCATTTAAAAGCTTGTTATTATAGAGATTTTTATAATTCTTTTATTATTAAGATATAAAATCACTTTTTTTATGGAGATATGAAAAAGCTAGTTTTATGGTGTTGTAAAGAGCTAATTTTATATAGATGTAAATTAATTAAATTTATGAAGATATAAAAGAACTAATTTTATGTCTCAACCTAACCCTAACCCTATCCCTAACAGTAACCCTAACCTATCTCTAACCGTAACCCTAACTCTAACTTTGACCATAACCAGATTGCCGGCTGAAGCTTCCAAAGATGGTTTGTGAGGATGACGTCAAATTCGATGACGGACTCTGTAAAGACCTCAACGGCAAGGAGATAGGAATCTGGAATAAAACCCTGTTCCATGAGGTCACAGGTCGAACCCTGATGTCACCTGCACAGGAGTACTGGGAAATGTACGTGGGGTTAAATTCTACACCGTTTGCTATAACTATAATTCATAAGAAAATTAATCAGGCGACAAATTAAGTCAAATGGAATGTCATGGGGCATTGTCTTGTTGTCTCGACCCACGTACCAATTACGAACCAAATCTGTCAGTTAGAAGTGCCTGCAATTTCGCTCGGGTGTTTCGATCTAGACAGACAGACAGACAGAGGATGTGAGTTAAATAAAAGCTTGTAAAAATAGACTCTAAGGTAGTTTACAAAGACTAACAGGGACTTAAAGATAGCTTAGGGAGACTAAAAGAGACTAAGATTGTTTGCTAGGGCTGACAATGGCTGTAAGTTAGTTTTTTCAGACTAAAAGAGACTTGCATATTTTACTAGAACTGACAAATTATTAGGACTGATTTAGTAATGGTTGAAATGGATTATAGAAATTTGGCAACAATTGATATAGTTCGTGCATACAGGCCAAAATACTGTGTTTCAAAATGATGTAATTTTATAAAGATTTCAGTGTAGTTTTCAGGTGTGCTTAACTTAAAGAAGTTAAATAAATCAAATGTATCAAATACATTTTCATTGGAGAAACAGCTATTTAAAGAAAAAAACTATCATAGTCAATAAAAATAGTTTAGTTTTAGCAACTATAAATCTTACTTAATTACATTGTTTCAATAATTACATTAATTATCTCTTCATTGAACTGATTTAACCATCTAAAATAACTGTCTACGTTTGTTTATGTCAAGAGTTGATAAGCCTTAAACATAATTTCATCAAAATTTACTTTGATCTATTCTTTGATTTTGGTCAAAACTTACGTTGATGCATTCATTAATTAGATAAAGACTTACTTTGATGCATTCTTTAATTAGGTCAAAACTTACGTTGATTAATTCTTTAATTAGGTCAACACGGACGTTGATGAATTCTTTAATTATGTCAAACCTTACATCGATGCATTCTTTAATTAGGTCAAAACTTACGTTTATGCATGCCTTAATTAGGTCAAACATTACGTTGATACATTCCTTAATTAGTTAAAACCTTACCTTGATTCATTCTTTAATTAGTTCAAACCTGACGTTGATTCACTCTTTAATTAGGTCAAACGTTACGTTGATGCATTCTTTAATTATATCAAAACTTACTTTGGTCAATTCTTTGATTGATCGATCGTTCGATCTGTCGACAGTTCGGTGCTAGAATCCAGTGCCAGCATAGAAATCTTCGGCTCCCCCAAGTGGGACCTGGTCCTGTGTCTGCTACTTGCATGGGTCATCTGCTTCTTCTGCCTCATCAAGGGCATCAAGAGTGCTGGGAAGGTAGGCCTATGTGTTTCTTACTTCAGTACTACCTCGCTACTTCGCGCTACGCATTTTGCACTCACACTACATGAGAATATTTTGCGCAGTAGAATTTTTTTTTGTCTTTTCTGTTATGTGTAATTTAATACATGTTAAGGTATTGACTTAGAGTAAATCTTTCTAGTTTTACAAATAAAATAATGTGCGTATTTTTTTAATTTTTAAAATGTTAATTTAAAAATTCTGTATGTTATTACCAAGTACATCGATAGCTCATTGAATGTAAATACGACATTTATGAATGGTTTATTAAGCTTTACAATATATCAATATAGGGTTTTTTTCAGACATATTCGTCAAAGAAGAGCAGTCACTTGAAAATGTATTATTAATATAATAGTTAATGTATGTGTATATAAATTAAATAATTACTCTATTTCGTCCGGAAGTGGGGGGGGGGGGGGAGATATCTGAAAGAACTACTGCACATTCAGAAAAAAATTCCTATTATTTTTTCTTAGGGACCCTCGCAACCTCTCTCAAGAAGTAGTCTATGTATAGCTGTGTATAAGACGTATTCACAGATAACATAATTTCTACTCAGTAGCAATAAGCCGGTCAAGTAATTATCTAATTACCAGCCCCATCCATCAATGACGTTTGTCCATCCTCAGGTCGTCTACTTCACCACCGTCTGCCCTCTCATCCTCCTCGTCATCCTCTTCATCCGTGGCCTGACCTTGACCCACGCCTCCTACGGCATTTATTTCTTCATCACGCCTGATTGGAGCAAGCTTGGTGACGTCACGGTACGCTTAATCTATTTTTTTATATTTTTTTTTGAGAGCTTATTCTCATTCTTTAATTAGATATAACGGATTAAAATTAGATTAAGTCTAATCTAGTAAACGTTGTAAGATCATAAAAGTACGGGCACGTAATGTAATTGTAGAATTAAATTATACAGAAAATTGTCGACTGCAATATTATTGTAATCAAATAAATTGGGTCAATTAGAGAGTTAACTTTAAAGTGTAGAAATGAGGAGTTAACTTATTCATGTGATCTAGAGGTCAGGTAAATTAACATTGTACAATCGGCGTATAATGCAATTAGTTAGTGGTAGATGATAGCTTGATTAAAGTGCAGATTTGACGGGTAATCTAATTAAAGTGGTCTAGTTGACAGATAAGTTAACAATATTGGGCCTATATGTAACCTAATGAATGTGGGCTAGTTAAAAGAAAAATTAACAATATTGGGCCTATATGTAACTTAATGAATGTGGTCTAGTTGACATATAATTTAGATTATCTATGTAATCTAATCAATGTGATCAAGTGGACATATTATTTACCACATCGAGTCTCTATGTAATCTAATGAATATTGTCATGTTGACATCTAAGTTAACAATTTAGAGACTATATGTAATCTAATGAATGTGTTGAGAGATCAGTTAAACAATTGGCGTATATGTGAAATGTAATGAGTGTGATATTTTAATCAGGTCTGGAAGGACGCCATCAACCATGTCTTGTTTTCTCTGGGTGTGGCCAGTGGTAGCCTCATATCTCTTTCCAGCTACAACAGGTTCCACAACAACATCGTCAGGTAAGTCAGGTGGTCAGCAGGTGTGTCAGGTGGTCTACAGGTGTGTCAGGTGGTCAGCAGGTGTGTCAGGTGGTCTACAGGTGTGTCAGGTAAGTCAGGTGGTCTGCAGGTGTGTCAGGTAGTCAGGTAGTCTACAGGTGAGTCAGGTAGTCTGCAGGTGTGTCAGGTGGTCTACAGGTGTGTCAGGTAGTCAGGTAGTCTACAGGTGTGTCAGGTAGTCAGGTAGTCTACAGGTGTGTCAGGTAGTCAGGTAGTCTACAGGTGTGTTAGGTAGTCTACAGGTGTGTCAGGTAGTCTACAGGTGTGTCAGGCAAGTCAGGTAGCCTACAGGTGTGTCAGGTAGTCTACAGGTGTGTCAGGTAGTCTACAGGTGTGTCGAGTAGTCTACAGGTGTGTCAGGCAAGTCAGGTAGCCTACAGGTGTGTCAGGTAGTCTACAGGTGTGTCAGGCAAGTCAGGTAGCCTACAGGTGTGTCAGGTAGTCTACAGGTGTGTCAGGTAGTCTACAGGTGTGTCAGGTGGTATACAGGTGTGTCAGGCAAGTCAGGTAGCCTACAGGTGTGTCAGGTAGCCTACAGGTGTGTCAGGTAGTCTACAGGTGTGTCAGGTAGTCTTTAGGTGTGTCAGGTAGTCTACAGGTGTGTCAGGCAAGTCAGGTAGCCTACAGGTGTGTCAGGTAGTCAGGTAGTCTACAGGTGTGTCAGGTAGTATACAGGTGTGTCGGGCAGTCCACAGGTGTGTCTTGTAGACTACAGGTGTGTCAGGTAGTCTAATGGTGTGTCAGGTAGTCCACAGGTGTGTCAGGTAGTCTATAGTTGTGTCAGGTGATCTACAGGTGTGCCAGGTAGTCTTCAGGTGTGTCAGGTGGTCTACAGGTGTGTCAGGTAGTCTACAGGTGTGTCAGGTAGTGTACGGGTGTGTTGGGTAGTCTAAAGGTGTGTAAGATAGTCTACAGGTGAGTCAAGTCTACAGGTGTGTCAGTTAGTCTACAGGTGTGTCAGGTAGTCAGGTAGTCTACAGGTGTGTCAGGTAGTCAGGTAGTCTATAGGTGTGACATGTAGTCTACAGTTGTGTCAGGTAGTCAGGTAGTCTACAGGTGTGTCAGGTAGTCAGGTAGTCTATAGGTGTGACATGTAGTCTACAGGTGTGTCAGGTGGTATACAGGTGTGTCAGGTGGTCTACAGGTGTGGCAGGTGGTCTACGGGTGTATCTGGTAGTCTACAGGTGTGTCCGCTAAGTCAGGTAGTCTACAGGTGTGTCAGGTAGTCTACAGGTGTGTCAGGTAGTCAGGTAGTCTACAGGTATGTCAAGTAGTCGCTTTTAGTTGAATGTTTTTGACATAAACGTTCAATTTATCGATTGTCTTTGAAGAATTCTAGATGAGCTGAGTGAGTTTATATCTTAAGTTTTGTGTTTTGTAGCTAGACATGTATTACTGGACTTCTTGGACGTCAGCAATGATTTTTGGGTTAAATATTTTTCTACACACCCCACTTCTATACAGGAGACCGTGATGGAATCCATTTAATTGACCTTAAATTTAATTGATCTGAATGTAAAGTTTCTGTTACAGTTGTTGAAAGCTTGTTACACTTTTAATTTTTATTTTTAATTCCAGGTAGACAATGGGCCTCTAACACGTTTCTATGCATTTATGTACTTTATCGTTGTTGTTTTTTTTTTTTAAATTATTTCCCTTTCCAATAATTGTCATGTCTTTTTGTTTTATTCTCTACCCATATGTTAAATCTATTCTGGTGCTTGTGTGATTAGGCTAGTCTCATTTAAAATAATTTTTAAAAAAATCATTAAAACTCAAAAGTTAAAGAAAAAAATTAACAAAAACACAAGAACGATAAATTCTATATCTGATTGGATTGACCCGCGCATGTCACGGTGACCCAGCACACAGGTCGTTCTAAAAGGGAAAACAAATCAATCCCGGCTAGCTCTAGCGTCACGTGATACTTGCGAGAGAGACCCGCGCCCGCCGCTAGTTTACTTTCCCACAGGTGGCCTTGACACGCCGCATGGTTCAATAACCGGGGCAAGATCGAGGGCTTTAGTTCAGCGGGGGAGTGGGGGGTAGTTTGTGTGGCTGGTTGTGTGGGAGTGGGGAGGGGTGTGAATAGACTTGGGGTTAGGGAGGACGGATATCTTTAGTGGCAATGTGTTTATATGTGTGAATGTGTGAATGGTGTTTGGATGGTAAACGTGTAGAGACGTTGGAAGCAGACGACATTACTGTTATAGTAATATAAAAGAAATACAAACAGAAAGTGGTATTTCAACATCAAGGTTAGACATAGGTACAGAATACAATCCAAGTAATGACAGAGCAGTGTAACCAGGCTGCAGAGTTTCTTCCAGGCATCCAGGACCCCCCCCCCCCCCCACCCAGAAGAAAGTCTACCGTTCCCCCCCTCCCCCCGAACGAAATGAAATTTATATAGAAAATATATACTTTTACCAGTGTCCACCCCCCCCCCCCCCGGAAAATGTTGACAGCCCCCCCATCCGAAAATATCAAGTCCCCCCCCCCCCCCCGGAGAAAAAAGTCTGGAACCTACCAATCTCAGCTGCCTCGCCTTCCTTGCGACAAGTTGGACATGTCAACACTTGAGCCATTCGATTGTATAGGGTGGTGGTGGGGGGGGGGGGGGAGAATAGACTATTAGTGTGTACCACTACGACGATTTTTTAAATAAAAGTGTCAGCTATATGTGATATATTTATATTGTGTAACAAAGCTTCCTGATGTTAAACCAAAAAAAAAACTATGGTATGTGTCTTACCAATATCTGAGAAATAAAGAAATCTTCTTTTAAAAGTCGTGATCATAACACTAATCTTACAACTACAACAATACTACTATTGGACTATGCTAATAGTGATGCTCCAAAATACAGACCCACCCTTAGTAAAGTGAACAATAAAATTATAATACATTTATGTTATAATTTAATTATGCCCCCCCCCCCCACCGCCGTATCGTTCTAATCAAATGTGCAAGGCATGGTATGGACCTACCCCTAATCGCGTCGACTGTTCAAATATCATGTACTTATTTATTTACAAAAAATCAATTCCCAGTGAAGTTTTGTTCATGTGTGCGGGGTACCGTATGGAAGTCACATAATAGTGTAGTTAGTTAAAGTATAATGTATTTTTTTTATTTTTTTATTTCTGGTGTGGTTATAAACAAGAATACATATCTCCGCCTCAATGACGCTCTGATCAAATATGTTAGTGACTGTACCCGCGACCCCCAATAATGCAGACAAATTATAATGTAACGATATATTTATTTAGTACCAATGTCCCCATCCCCAGGGACGCGCTGATCATGTCAGTGGATGCCTGTACTGACGACCCATTATAATTTAGACAGTCATGTTATAATTCTTTCTTCTTCGTTCTTAATTTTTAGTGTTGGGATGGATCGAGCCTTATCTGCCAGAGGGTTTGAACTCGCGACTTTTTGGAATTTATCAACCATGAGCTTTTTGCCGACTCGACCACGCCTTCAACACAATTAAGCGTTACGTGTCAACTGGTTATGCGCCATTGAGGCCATTGACTCCGATTTCAGCCTGCTTTTCTTTTTGGATTTGCTTCCATAGCCTTTGTCCAACCAAGAACAAACAACAAGGCAGCAGTTGTTTGATTTTGGAGTTGTCTCTCCTAGAAGAGTGGCTGTCCCCAGCTAACGAGCCTCATCTGCCCGAGGGTTCGAACTCGAGACTTTTCGGTTTAGCAACCATGAGCTTTACCATAATGATATATGTATTTAATAATCAATGTCCCCATCCCCAGGGACGCTCTGATCATATCTGTGGGTGACTGTGTGACGTGTATCCTGGGAGGGTTCGTCATCTTCTCCTACATGGGCTACATGGCCGGTCAGCAGAACGCCAGCATAGAGGACGTCTCCGTGGACGGTAATTAGCACTTCCTCATTAATTAAGTCTCTAAAGCATATCTCGGGATCAAGTATGTAGAACGTCCCTGAGTCCATACAGCTCTGATGGGTACCTAACTCACGTTGAGAAAGGGAAAAAATGCGACTAGGAATAGTGATGACCACACTATCTCTTAAAATGCATAGGTCACTTAAACAGATGAAGTCTACTTCACCTATACAAAGGACCATCAGGTTTGAATGGATACTTTACTTTTACATTAATCATCCTCAGAACTAATTAATACTTCGGCAGGATGAAACCTGTTTTTGATAGTATTACTACCATAAGCTTAACCCTAATCATTCAGTAGTTTCTTTAGACAAGCGAAACTTGACTAGAAAAGGAATGCATACTGTATCCCTATCACTAACCCTGAACCTGTAACGGTTATCAGCAGAAAAAAAAATCATTTAAAAACGTCATTATCTTTCCAAAATTTAAATTAGGGCAGAAAATGTACTTGTTCACTAAACTGTATATGTGTACAAGATATAACACAAAATATACATTAAATATGTGCTATAAACTGTATTATACGTGAACCAGATATAACACAAAATGTACATAAATCGACGTTTTTATCTTTCAGGTGTAGGTCTAGCTTTTGCCATGTACCCAGACGCTATATCAAGTCTTCCGCCCCCAACATTGTGGGCTATTTTCTTCTTTCTTATGTTGGTCACGCTAGGCATCGATTCACAGGTAAGTTGTCATCTGTGATTTAACATGAGAGTTAAGCTAGACCCTGACCTACAGGTAAGTTGTCTTACCTGTGATTTAACATGAGAGTTAAGCTAGACCCTGACCTACAGGTAAGTTGTCTTACCTGTGATTTAACATGAGAGTTAAGCTAGGCACTGACCTGTGGGTAAATTGTAAAGCTAGACACTGATTAACAGGTAATTTGCCCCACCGGTGGTCTATCAATTTAATCGAGCTAGGCGATATCTTATACGTGTCCTATACTTGTATATCTTACCTGTTAATGATTAACAGGTAATTAGACATACAGGTAAATAAGCATGTTCAGTGTTTCATTTAGACAATTAGCTCCAAGGGTAGACTTGAAACTTCATGAAAGAGCTGGGGACGGGCAATTATACAAACTGTTAAATAATATTTTTTTTTATTTGAATTGAACATTTTATGTACTTTTCCGGAGGGGTGAGGGTCATCGGACGTGCGCGGGGTTGGGGATTTTAAAAATTCCTTTTTTCTGAGAAATGTCTGAAAGAAACACAGAGCGTGTCCATAACGCTTGTTATGCACGCACTCACACACACACACACACACACACACACGCACTCTCCCTCCCTCACACACACACACACACACACACACACACACACACACAAACACGGGTAATTGAAGAAATTAGTCAAACCGTGATATATTATGTAAATACATACACGACAGCATAATGCTGTGAAGCAATGTATCAAATAACATAAATACATGCATGTAAATACAAATACGTATATGGCTCCATGGTCAAAAAGATCATGGGAATACTGCGTATTGGAAATCAAACCACAAAGTCTAGCCCTATGTTGAGAAAATCCAGAAGTTTCACATGTATCAGCCCCCTCTCTCCACACAGCTGATGGACCCATGTGATTAAATACACATACAGATCTAAGATTCCAATTAACCTACTTCTGATTCCATCATATCTCCGACGATTTGAATCCACTCAAAGGTTTCTTTCATACTCCAGTGCAAATGTCAAGGTTGATTGAACGCTTACCGTTTAGATCAATGAAGCGTGTCTGCTTTACGGTTCAGTGGTTCGGTGATTTACGATGAAAACAACGCACTCATAGCTGCTTTAAAGATGAAATATCTAAAATAATCAATACAAATTGAATCGAGAATCGGAAGCTTTGATTTGTGTTTTTCTAAACGATCTTTTTCGGCGACCTATCTGTACTCAATATAAATCAGCCTGAATTCTACGTTTGAATATTCTACTCAAGATTGTAAAAATATATTTAAAAATTGTCGATAAAAGTGGTGGCTTAAAAACGGTTTAATTACAAAGTCATCAGTAATTAAAATAAATAAAAATATGATTAAGATAATAATCAACCATTATTATGCACAAGGGTCTCCAAACTACGACCCGCGGGCCGGATGCGGCCCGCGATGTCCTCTTATCCGGCCCGTTGAGATCTTTTTGTCCAAGGAAAAATATTTTGTTGGTGATAGCTTAGGAACTTTGCCCCGAAAAATCAAAGACATGCCTCGAAGAAACTGGCCCCCCAACTGAAATGTTATAGTTAATGCGGCCGTCGGACTGAAAAGTTTGGAGACCCCTGATTATGCAGATAGTAATTACAAATAAAATTATTTATTTTTCACATTTCAATGGGAGATTATAACATATTTTATACACTTTGTAATTAGGCATTAAATAATAATTCTAAATTTTAATTTTAATTTATTTTTTTTTGCCCATTGCATGTTGATTTAATCACCGAACCAAACCGAACTGTTGATCTAACTACCGAGCCTAACCGAACTTTGTTTTCTCTGTAGTTTGTTATCATAGAGACGGTGCTGACTGGGTTTGTCGACCAGTTCCCCAAGATGCGACATAAGAAGATTCCCATCATCTCCTCCATATGTGCCATCTCCTTCCTGCTGGGGCTTCCATTAACGTGTCCGGTAAGTGGGCCATATGACCTCATACACAAAACATACACAAGCACGCACTTACAACTTCAGTATTGTCTTTTTTCGTTCGTGCTCAATTCATATGATGCAGATGAAGTAGATTTTATATATTTTAATCACCTCGGGGTACACTGTGATACTGTGGTGCACATTACCCTAGTTGTCTTTACTTTTCTTAATGCGAGTCAGGTACCCATTAGAGCTGGGTCGGCTCAGGCACATTCTTAAGACTCGAGCCGGGGATCCGAATATGAGACATTCGTCCTAGCGATCGCCAACGCTACCATCCAACCACAAGCGTGCATGCATACACATAAACTATAAGCACACACACTTGCGTTAATAAATCTTAATTGACAACTGTTCACTGTTGTTAATGCGATCTCACTCATTATTATTTTGAGTACTTTGTGTATATAAAGCTCACATCTGAAGCTGTTTCTGTATCCATTAACATTTCGAAATGTTTAGCTGTAGCTCGAAAACAAATTGCAAAAAAAAAAGCGTAATCAAAATGTTGCTGTTTATTTTAGACACCAACTGTTTATTACCGCATTATTTAAAAAAATGCGATTTCACACATTAAATTCACAAATACAACTAATTTAAAAAACAAATGAAATAGTAATCGATCAGTATTTAAATTTCCTGCAAGTTCGCACGCAATAAAGACCCAAATAACACACAGACACCTCACCTAACACTAACTAACCCAAACACCAGACAGACACCTCGCCTACCTAACACTAACCCAAACTCTAATCATCACGACCCAAACACCACACAGACACCTCGCCTACCAAACACTAACCTAAACAAAGACACCTCGCCTACCTAACACTAACCTACACAGACACTTAGTCAACCTAACACTAACTAAAATTTTTACCATCAAGACCCAAACAACAGACGCCTAGACTATCTAACACTAACCCAAACACCACACATACACATACACTAACCCAAACTCTATCCCCATTGTTCTCCTGTCAGGCTGGTATCTACCTGGTCCAACTGATGGACAATTACGTCAGCGGCATGACGTTGTTTATTATAGCAGCATTTGAACTGGTCGGTCTCATGTATATCTACGGTAAGTCTATAGTTGTGTACAAGTGAGGTAATTTAAATGTGTGTACTTCTCTGTGTACATGAGTGTTAAGATTAAGTTTGTGTATACCCGTGATTAGTCTATAATTGTATACTCGAGAGGTCAATCTACATGTATGTATTTGTCTGCGTTGTTTGTGTATAAGTCTATATTTGTGTACACATAAAGTCAAATGTATATTTGTGTACTGGCCTGTGTTGTTTGTGTACATGCCTGTAAAGTCTATGTTTGTGTATGTCCCTTTTAAGTCAGTATTTGTGTACACGTGAGGTCAATTTGTATTAGTGTACTTGTATGTGTTGATTGTGTACATGCCTATCTATATGGTGTACATGCGAGTTAAGTCTATATTGGTGTACTTCGTTTTAAGTTTATACTTGTGTGCATGCATGTTAAGTGTATTTTGTATACAAGTGAGTTCAATTTATGCTGATGTACATGTATGGGAAGTTTATATTGTTGTACATGCGTGGTAAGTCTATATTTGTGTACAAATGAGGTCAATTCATATTTGTGTAATTGACTGTGTTGTTCGTGTACATGCGTGTCTATAAGATTGTACATGCATGTTAAGTATATATGTGTGTACAAAAGAGTTCAATTTATGCTGATGTACAAGTGTGGGAAGCTTGTATTGGTGTACATGAGTGTTAAGTCTAAACTGGTGTACATCCCAGGTAAGTCTATGATTGTGTATATGTGTACTAAATCTGTCAGCAGATAACTTGTGTTTCCATTAACGACCTGATCATTGCCCAAACTATTCGGCTTTTATTTGATCATGCAAGGGGGGGGGGTCAGAAATAATGTTATACAATATTTTTTCTCAAGCGTTAAATCAGATATCATGACGTATTTAGCAGAACAAGGGGAAAACACTTTGAAAATATGTCTGATTGTGTCCTACACCCCTGACACACTATTCAATTATTTATCTCCCCTGTCTGCAGGTGTCAACAGGTTTTGTCTGGACATCACCCTCATGACAGGCATCAGGACGTGGATATTCTGGAAGATCTCCTGGTGCGTCATCAGTCCACTGACCATTGCTGTAAGTCTCCCCCTCCCCCTCACCACCGAGTAGTTACGTTTAAAAAACATCATCGTGAATTTCACATTGTATTTCTTTTACCGTCTACCATGATGTAACTGGCACTGGCAGTGTTTCTTCCAGATTTTTTCTCCGGGGGTTGGGGGGGGGGCATTTAAAATATTCGCGGGGGGGGGCGGATTAAAATTTCCGGGGAAGGGGGAACATTGTTAAAAGTATATATTTTCAATCTAAATTCTATTTCATTCGGAGGGGGGAGGGGATGCTAGAATCTCTTCGTGGGGGGGGGGGGGGGGGTGCCGAGTTCCCCCTTCCCCCTCCCCCCAAGAGAAGCCTGGAAGAAACACTGGTATCTGGGTCGGTCAGAACATTCCTTATGTATGTATGTTCATGACAACGACTACTGCTTTGTTCCAGTTCATATTCCTCTACATCTTCATCGACTACGAAGGCTCGACCTACGACGATTACACCTACCCCCACTGGGCCGACATCATGGGGTGGATGATGACGGTGGTGGGGGTCGTCGCCATCCCCATCGTCATGGCCTACAAGATCTCCATCGAGAGGCGCCGGAAGCGCATCTGGCAGGTGAGCTGTTCGCACGTGCATGTGCGTTAGACCTGGGTACTCACGACTTTGGTACTGGTCGATCATAGAGCAAACTGTTTCATGTATCTAAACTATAGTGGAACAGTTATAAAGGGTATAGGAGTAATGTACAATCGTATATCAATCTAGTCCAGTGGTTCTCAACCTTTTTGGAGGTACTGAACCCCATCATTTTCATATGCGTGTTTATCGAACCCTTCTTAACAAATATTTATAGTCCGCACTGACAAAAATGTGATCGTGAGTTATTTGAGTCGGGTGTGTGTGTTGACTTCCGCCGAACCCTTAAGACAGTAACTCGAAGAACCACTGAGGTTGATCGAACCCATGTTAAGAACCGCTGATATACATTTGCACAAAAAACTATTTTTACAATCAGTTTAGAGTATATGTTAATACAATAAAACGTCAATTAGTAGGTCTAATTAGCATATTTTTAAATATATGTATCACCTATTTTAAATATATGTATCACCTATATTAAACATAAATTCTTTAAAGTACATGAGTTTCACGCTAAGGGAAGATTCTTAAGAATCGTGTTTTAAAAAGTAATTATAAGCTTTTGCGTAAGATTTATTCTATCTTGACGGTTGAATGTCCTTGCTAGATACAGTAAAGCTAATAGGATTTATCGATCTTTTTTTAAGAGGAGAGAAAAGCTAAAACTGCCTTAGACATACGAATGAAGGCATTTTATAACCTCGATAACTAATGGATACTGAACTGGTTTTAAGCCATTTTAAATAATTTGTTTAACATTTATTTAGTTTTAAGACATGACTGAACCAAGCAATTTTTCTCAAACAAATGTTTTTTTCTGAACGAAATTTGCTTGGCATTGTTTGAGAAATTGATTTTCTTGAAGAGAAAGTAATTGTGTTTAAAAGAACCTTCGTCCTAACTTTACGTATTTTACGTTTTTTCAACTCTTTTCTTTGAAAAAAAGTTTCTTTTCGAAAAACAACTTTGAAATGTAATCAAATTATTATTCTCACAACAAATACATATCTCGATTTTAAGCTTCAGAAATTCACCTTCTGTGCAAGTTCTAAAATTAAGGTTTCTCAAAAGTCCTCTATTTCTGCCCCATAACATCGCCTTCCTATGCAAGCAGTCTAAAAACTAGGTTTCTCGAAAACTTCTATTCCCGCCCCAGAAAATGAATGCCCTTCCTATGCAAGTAGTCCAACAAAAATATGTTTCCCTAACATTTTTATTTCGGTCCAGAAAATTGCTGTCCTTTACAAACATTCTAAAGATTTACATTTCTCTAAAACTCCTATCCTTGCCCCAGATAATCGCCTACCTGTGTAAGTTGTCCAAAATCTTAACGTTATCCTAAAACTTCTACCCCTGCCCCAGAAAATTGCCTTCCTGTGTAAGTGTCCAAAATCTTAACGTTATCCTAAAACTTCTACCCCTGCCCCAGAAAATTGCCTTCCTGTGTAAGTGTCCAAAATCTTAACGTTATCCTAAACCTTCTACCCCTCCCCCAGAAAATCGCCTTCCTGTGTAAGCCGTCAAGACACTGGGGACCAGCACTGCGGGTACACCGAGCCCTGGTGACGTATGTGGAGGGATTTATTGTCGACCCTCCCAAGAAACGGAGGAAGAGGTTCGTCCTCAGGCGACTCTTTGCTCCACAGACCCATCCAGATGGCCAGGTAGGTTAAACACGTAGGTAGGTTAAACACGTAGGTAGGTTAAACACGTAGGTAGGTTAAACACGTAGGTAGGTTAAACACGTAGGTAGGTTAAACACGTAGGTAGGTTAAACACGTAGGTAGGTTAAACACGTAGGTAGGTTAAACACGTAGGTAGGTTTAATGTCTGGCCACGTTACCAGTGTTTTTTCCAGACTTTTTTCTCCGGGGGGGGGGGGGGGCAGTAGACTTTTTTGTGGGGGGGGGGGGGGGGCGGACACTGTTAAAAGTATATATTTTCTATATAAATTATATAAATTTCATTTCGTTCGGGGGGGGCGGTAGAATTTTTTCAGGGGGGCTTCACCGCCCCCCCCCCGAAGAGATGCCCGGAAGAAACTCTGCACGTTACGCCACACCTAGATGGCCGGGAAGGTTAAACACAATATTTTACCACGTTAAGATGGCCAGGTAAGTTAAACACTATATCTGACCACGTTAAGGAACGTCTCTGTTACCAGGTAAGTTAAATGCATTATCTGGCCACGTTAAGACACGTCTATGCTACCAAGTATGTTTAAATAACCTCTGGTAAGGTCACACCAGATAGCCCGTTTGGTTTAGAAAATGTCTGACAAACCAATTGATTGGCTAGACTAAATACATATCTGACCACGTTATCTGATACCCAGATCACACCTAAATGACGAGCTAGCCCAGGGGTCGGCAACCTTTTGAAGCGGAAGAGCCAAAAGTTACAATTTTCAAAATTTCCCTGGTTTTAAAGAGCCACTAACATTTTTTTTTATTTCAAATATTTTATTCTTTTATTAAGATTATTAGTATTTGTTCAAGGAGCTGGAGAGCCGCATCTTGATATCAAAAGAGCCGCATGCGGCTCGCGAGCCGCAGGTTGCCGACCCCTGAGCTAGGTTAATATGATTGTAAAAACGTTGTGCCATGGGTCCATCAGCTGTGTGGAGAGAAGGGGACCTGGTACATGGGCAATATCAGGCTCAAATTAGGGCCAAGGCTTTCCAACGCACAATCATCCAATCGTCCATTAGACTACACAGCCATATATAGTAGCGTTACAAGAAGGTTAAAAACTAAAGGAAAAAATCATACATTTTCTGACATATATGAAATATTATTATGTCTTAGTTAGTTGATCTGTTAATGTCAGTGGATTATCTTGTATATGTACCGCTTAATTTAAGCCAAGCAGCCCGTCCCTAGACACAACCTTTAATACCCGGTTTTCAAATCGAGAAATATACTTTATATAATACCAGAGATTTTTAAAGTAACAAACATTTATCAAAGCAATGCTTTTGTGTTCAAATTCTAGGATGAGCGTGGCGCCGCCTTGGTAGCCGTCCCCATAGCCGTCGTATCCACGGTCTGGGGACCGAATCCAAACTCTCAACAAGACGCCAGCACTACAGAACTGAACCATCTTCCTCAAGACATAGAAGCCAAAGAAGAATCAAGTTTATAAAACAAATTAGTTTCTACATTTTTATTTTATTTTTGTAAACCCTCGTTTTCCAAATGTATACAGTAGTTACCTGAAAATCGGGACTGTGGTGTAAACAATTCATCATAGCCGCGTACAGCATATCCTTAGGAAGGTCTATGAACTTCTTTCTTTAATTGTATCTCTAGTTCTGCCTGACATGTAGACTGCCTAATAACATAACTACTTTTTTTATGTGTTCAATATAAATGTCATTAAATTAGCTATAATGTTAATTAAGATATGCGTAATTAGACAAATTTACTAGCTTTGGGTGACACAACTTATTGAATCTATCGACTAGTCTTCTCTGACATACCTCACTTAAAGAGTGATATGGTTGTGGCATATATCTACACCATCGATATACATCACTAAAAGGGTACTGTGGCTGTGAGGCATATCTATACTATCGACATACCTCAATTTAAGGGTGGTGTGGTTGTAATGTATATCTACGCCATTGACATACCTCACATAAAGGGTGATATGTTGTGATGTATATCTACACCATCAATATACATCATTAAAAGGGTGGTGTGGTTGTGATGTATATCTACACCATCAATATACATCATTAAAAGGGTGGTGTGGTTGTGATGTATATCTACACCATCGACATACCTCACATAAAGGGTGATATGTTGTGATGTATATCTACACCATCGACATACCTCACATAAAGGATGATATGTTGTGATGTATATCTACATCATCGACATACCTCACATAAAGTGTGATATGTTGTGATGTATATCTACACCATCGACATACCTCACATAAAGTGTGATATGTTGTGATGTATATCTACACCATCGACATACCTCACATTAAGGTTGATATGTTGTGATGTATATCTACACCATCGACATACCTCACATAAAGGTTGGTATGTTGTGATGTATATCTACATCATCGACATACCTCACATAAAGTGTGATATGTTGTGATGTATATCTACACCATCGACATACCTCACATAAAGGGTGGTGTGGTTGTGGCGCATATCTACACCGTGTGTTTTACAGCTCTGATCTGTCATTAAGTCTTCTTTAAAATCAAACTCGACATAGGCACAAATTATTGGTCGTGAGTTATGTCTAGTACCTACGAATGGTATTCCAACTAATCGGCTTGGTGGGATGTGTTTGGTGTAGTGCATGCGTCGTGTTTAGTTCGAGTTTGTGCGGACATCCCTGAGTCTACCAGACTGAAATATTGCTCTACTTTTTTTAGTTCCTATAAGATGTACGTGTATTTTAGGCCTAGAGACTAATGTCATGAGTCTGCAGTAATCTACCTACCTAATGTAATAAGTCTATTGTAGCCTAGCAATCAAATGTCATAGGTCTATTGTAGCCTACATATCTAATATCATGAGTCTGCAGTAATCTACCTATCTAATGTAATAAGTCTATTGTAGCCTAGCAATCAAATGTCATAAGTCTATTGTAGCCTACCAATCGAATGTCATAGGTCAATTGTAGCCTACCTATCTAATGTCATAAGTCTAATGTACCCGACAGATATAATGGCATGATTTTAATGTAGCCCATCATGAGTCTATTGTAGCCTACCAATTAAATGTCATAAGGGGTCATCCATTTATGACGTCCACAATTTTTTTGGGATTTTGGACCCCCCCCCCCCACACACACACAAAAAGCCCCCTTTTTTTATATAAGTCCATATGCGTCCACAAAAGTTAGTTTTTTTCGGACCCCCCCCCCCCCCCCGCGTGTGGACGTCATAAATGGATGACCCCTAAGTCTAGTGTAGCCTACCAATGTATTAGAAAGTTGTGTCTACTTTTATATAACCAACAACACCATCAAATGTTGCTCCGCCCCCCACCCCCACTCCCCTCATCTGTTGACTGATGAAGCATTTACTGTTGACAACACTGCCTTGATATTGACCTGTATATTTAAAACTGCCAATTCTGTGTATTGACTTGCATGTCCCTCACTCCCCCCCCCCTACCCCAACGTCAACAGTGCACGTGAATTATGCTGCACCCAGCGCTTTCAAGTGTATAACATCTGCCCTAAGTGCTCTGGGTGCCTGAATCGAATCCCACTCAAGCAAACAGCTGAAATGTTATTTTATCATGAAGGTGTATATCTCCTACAGAGTTAAAACATTGCTGTTGTTTTATATCGTGTTCATCTTGTTAAGTCGTTTAAACTTCTATGCAAATAATGTGTGATCATTTTTATTCCGGTGTGGATTTATAAAGCGTGGTGTAAATTATTTTTCTTATGTAAATAGTGTACATAAAAAATTAAAAATAAAAAAAATAAAAATTAGTTTACTCGAATTTCACAACTCTTTTTGCTTTTTTTTGCTTTTGTTGCTATAATTTTTTTTTTATTTCTATTTCTTAAAAAAAAAGTAAAAATAGTTCTTTATTAAAGAAAAATACCTTAAGTCAATTGATGACATATTTTAAGTGTACAATAAAGCAACCTCCCTATTTTACAACGCGTTATTGATTTAATAAAAATAATATAGCATAATAACCACCATTAATTGTTCAAGCCACGTACATATAACTGTATAGCAGATACATTGCACATTTCATTGTTCTTAATATTCATGTAAGGTTTTGTTTTAACGCCTTGAAGTAGATCTGACAGTGGATTTTATCTCAAACATAAGATATACATTCATAGTTGCCTGACATTTTAATCAACTTGTACTTTTTATAAAGGTTTTAAATGTGAACTTATATATATATATATATATATATATATATATATATATATATATATATATATATATATATATATATAATATATATATATATAACTTTTTTTAAAGTACTATATTACGACTTTTAAATTTAAAGTAACAACCATAAACCTATAAGTATTAGCCCCGAAGTTTTACTGCTAACTTTTAATTAATTCCATCGCAATGTCAACACAACCTCGCGATCCTGATCCAGCCAGCCTTCCCACGCCTTACCTGTTCCATATTCAACCAGCCACGCCTACCTGCACACGTGACCGTGTCGAGGCCTGCTGGGACATCTTTTGTTGGGGTACCAGACTTCAAGGACTTAATGGGCACGACATGACGTTTGCATCAAATAATGCAACACGTTCATGTAGCCTAGACAAGTGTAAATACCCAACTAATCAATAGTTTTCAAATAAACCCACAATGAAAGTAGATTAAAGTTAAATAGTTGTTTTTTTTTAAATTAAAGCCATCAATAGTATGTTTAAAAACTAACATTTTTCCTGATTTTTTTTCACAATTTCCTTCTTAAATAAATTCTAACTTCGCAATGTTCAGAGGAAAGTCATATTGTTTAATTATACCTCAAGCTGACAACATATGAGAACGTAGTTTTGAGTAGTGTTATTTTATGGTGTTGTTGTTGTTTGTCTAGTCAGGGGTCTCCAAACTACGGCCCGCGGGCCGGATGCGGCCCGCGAAGTCCTCGCATCTGGTCCGCGGAGATCTTTTTGTCCAACGAAAAATCGTTTGTTGGTGATGGCTGCGGAGCTTTGCCCAGAAAAATCAAAGACATGCCTGGAAGAAACTGGCCCCCGAACTGAACTTTGATAGTTAATGCGGCCCTCGGACTGAAAAGTTTGGAGACCTCTGGTCTAGTTTAATAGAACGGTCAGATGTATGTTCAGTATCAAGTCTATGATCAGTACTATCGTTAGTGCTTTATTTACAGCCTGAAGTAGCAAACAAGCAACATAGAGGTTCGTGCTCTGACATTGTAATATGTACGCATTACATCGAGATGTAACCCATTACATCGAGATGTAACCCATGACATAGAGATGTAGCCAATTACATCAAGATGTAACCCATTACATCGAGATGTAACCCATGACATAGAGATGTAACCCATTACATCGAGATGTAACCCATTACATCGAGATTCAACCCATTAAATCGAGATGTTACCCATTCCATCGAGATGTTACCCATTACATCGAGATGTAACCCTTTACATCGAGATGTTACCCATTACATCGAGATGTAACCCATTACATCGAGATGCAACCCATTACATCGAAATGTAACCCATTACATCGATATGTAACCCATTACATCGAGATGTAACCCATTACATCGAGATGTTACCCATTACATCGAGATGTAACCCATTACATCAAGATGCAACCCATTACATCGAGATGTAACCCATTACATCGATATGTAACCCATTACATCGAGATGTAACCCATTACATCGAGATGTAACCCATTACATCGAGATGTAACCCATGACATAGAGATGTAACCAATTACATCGAGTTGTAAGATTATGCATTTGTCAACACGGACAATTTGAAATAGCTTTGAACTAAATTTTACAATTTTTACAACATTATTAATTAGGTTTTACCAACTGGGTTTACAAATTTAGCCAACAAAAAATCTAAATTAGTAATATTTTCCTCTTTAGCACAAGAAAACTACTTATGATTTGAAACGAGGAGTTCGTGACTGTCAAATTGGGAATCTTTGGCTTAGCTGATAAAAACAAAATTATAAATTATCGCGTTCTTCTCCAGCACTTTAAAATAAAACTACATAGGTTTTTTGCAAATAGGAGTGCGTGTCTAACGAATTGAGAACCTCTGGCTTAGCAGACAAAACAATCTGAGTACAGTTCACCAAATGTTACTAGGAAAAAATATTTAAATCACATCAACGCCTCCCTTCGTACAGTGCGCAGAAACCACTGAAGCATAACGGTCCCCGACATTTTCCCACGTAGTGAGGTAAACTGAACGTCTATTTATAGCCAGCAGTGGAGAAAAGAAAATAGATGTGTCGGGTTTCTCATCCGCGACTTTCTTAAAGACAAGGCAACTCTTTGTGCCCGCTAATGACCCTGTGGTATTGTACTCAATGTGAAGCTAGTTTCAAACATTACATTTAACAATAGGGGTATATAAATACTGTTGTAATTATTTTAGTCCCATGAAAAATACATTCCGACAAATA